TTTCTAAAAGGCCCTGAGATCTCATATTAAAAATAAAAGACAGAACAAATTCATTCTATCTCTCACAGTCTCTGAAATCAGCAAATCAAGATTCAAGAGACTGACTTGGCTTCTTCCGTTGTGTGTACCCGACAATTTCTGAATAAGAATAGGGTAAGATGGGGTCCAATGTTCCCTCTAAGCTGAGTTAGTGTGAGCTAGCTCACACTAACTCAGCTTAGAGGGAACACTGATGGGGTTCCCAAGTTTGTTGAGTCTGTGGACACTTCTGGAATTTTGCAAAATGGTAGTGAAAGCCACCACAAAATGACTGCCATGGGGCCAGGACCAATCACAAAATGTTGGGAGGTGCCAAGCCAAATATCCTCCTACAGTGGAGCTCACTACTTCGGAAGGGGGTGTCTCCAGCAGCAAAGCCAATGTCTCCTGGCCTTTCCTGAAGGACCTCCCGCACCACAGAGCCTGTGGAAATCTGGGACCCACACTTTGCTTTAGGGAAAAGAGGTTGTATGGTTTTAATTACTGACGAAAGAAGAACAGGTTTGGTCCTTGAGATTTCCAAGGCCAGGGATGTAAGGAAATCTTGGGGTTTTGGCCAGTCAGAAGGCATATGTACGCCTGTAACATGGCTATCTGGAATGAGCTTGGTGTTTTGCTAGTCAGTCAGATGGTAGGGTGCAACTTGAAGCTTTATTTTTGTTTTCTCTTCCATTCGGGACCCTTTAGAGTTTGACCCTCCCCCCGCAGACTCAAGAAAGTGGGTGCCAGGAAGCACGCTGGTAGACACTTTGGGTTCTGCTGTTGTAGGATCAGTCAAAGGAGCTACCATGGTACCAGCCACATTCGTTAAAAGGCTGGCTGAAAAGAATTTAGAAGAATATGCAAGTTACCTATTGCCCTCTGCCTTAAAATCGATTTCCAGTGTCTCTTTAATGGTAATCAAGTTGCTTCTTCTTCCTTTACTCGGACTGCCAGAAGCAAGTACTACTTACTGAACTTCTTTGCACTTTAAGTTATGTCCACTCTGAATTTCTAATGATACTGATACGACAGCTTAACATTATCTCATTTCTGCAGTATCAGGGTCACATTTAACAGTGGCTCTGATAGAGAACTGGAGGTCATGTTCTACCCTGAACGCAGCCTTATTAGCACATGACTTGCCCCAGATAGTCAATATGCAGTTTCAACCAAGTTTGAGGCTGACACTCACAGTGCAATCTTTATGTGGAGTTACTCCAGTCTCAGCCCATTAAAATCCACTGTACTGTCCATCTACTGGATAGCATCAACTACCTACCTTGGCTTCTGACTAAATGCAACCAACACTCTAATTCTTAGGCAATTTACTTTCATTCTGCGGGCATACTTGGGAATGCTAGTTTACAGCACTGCTGCAATTTATTTATTTATTAAATTAGATTTACTTGGCCGCCCTTCCCTACAGGTAGAGCTCAGGGTGGCTTACAACAAAGTAATATACAGAAATTCTATAAATTAAAATCAAGATTAAAACCGCCTAAAAGAAGATCAATAGATAAAAACAATATACATATACTAGATGGTGGTGGGGGGGGGAAATTCAGCTCCCCAGCCTCCCTGGGGGAAGGGTTATGAGAGATGGGGAAGTATATGAAAGTGCCAGATGTTATACTGTCCCCATCGCTGTCCTCAACTGAAGGCCTGGCGGAACATCTCTGTCTCTCATGCCCTGCGGAAGGGTAAGAACTCCCGCAGAACACGGATGTCTTCCGGTAGAGAGTTCCACCAGGTGGGGGGGGGGGCAGGGGCTAAAAAGCCCCGGCCCTGGTTTAGGGCAGCCGGACCTCTCTCGGGCCAGGGACCACCAGGACCACCAGGAGGTTCCTATTTCCTGAGCAGGTTCCTATTTCACTTACAGGAAATCCACCAGTTTCATACAAGCTTTTGGAAATAATCTTAGTATGGTCAAACAAATGTATGTTGCGGGCTAGCAGGACAGGACATGGTTTGCAATGGGTACCATTGGTGTCTAGCAGGGATCCGGGTTTCATTTCCTTTGCCTTTACCTACAGAGCACTCTACTTATTTAAAACATCTTTAATGCCGCCATTCTTCCACCCTGGCATTCAAGGCCATTAATAAGAACATATAAACTTTTTTAAAAAGCATAATTTGTTTTTCTTTCTGTAAACAATTTTGGGTTCCCCTGGGGGAAAAGGGGAAACATTAAAAAGCTATGCAAAAAGCAGCAGAGATATTAAATAAACAGCATTAAGACAAAGTAGCTATTGAGCTTCCGGGTGCCTACAAGAACAACAGTTTTTCCCAAGTTGCTGACAAGCAAGCAGTGATGGAGACAAATGAGCTTCTGGGAAAAAGAATCTAAAGGGCAGGCACAATTACTGAAAAAGCACTCTGCCACAGATGACAGGGGAAGATGAAACATGGCCTCAGAAGAAGACCGGGGTGAATGGTAAAGGTAAAGTTTTCCCTTGCTCGAAAGCCAGTCAAATCCAACTCTAGGGTTGCGGTGCTCATCTCTGTTTCCAAGCCGAAGAGCCAGTGCTGTCCGAAGATGTTTCTGTGGCCATGTGGCCGGCATGACTAAATGCCAAGGCGCATGGAACGCTGTTCCCTTCCCACCGAAGCGGTACCTATTTATCTACTTGCAATTTCTTGCTTTCGAACTGCTAGGTTGGCAGGAGCTGGAACTAGAGACGGGAGCTCACTCCGTCATGTGGCACACTCGGGTCTTGAACTGCTGAACTGCCGACCTTCCAGTCTGCAGTTCAGCGTCTTAACCACTTGAGCCACCGCAGCTCTAGGGTGAATGAGGTATGCCCAATACTGGAAGAGGTGGATATCCTGGGCCCAGGATATTTAGCGCTTTAAAGATCAAAGTCAGCACTTTGACTTGGCCCAGGAAATAAACAGGAAGTCAGTGAAGATGGCAAAGGACTGGTGTCTCTCTTGCAGCTTTATTTTGCATCAGCTGTGGTTTCCAAACAGCCTCAAAGGCAGTCATAGATAGAGCACATTACAGTAATCTGATCTGGATGCCAATGAAGGCATGTGTGATCAAAGACTGGGTCTCTTCTAAGAAAAGTGCTGCAGGAGTAGCAACCTAAGAAAGAGACCTTCCTGTTAGGCATCACCCCTACCTGAGTTTCTATGGTTAGTGATGAATAAACAGAGGACCCATGAATAAGAGGAAGGAAATCGTTCCCCTCCACACTGGTTCACACCTGCTCCCTCTTTTTAGGGTTTCTCTCTCTGTTTCCTCTATTTCCCCTCCATGCTCTTCTTCCCTTTCCCCCACATTCAACATCCCGCCTCCCTGTCTTTTCTCAGCTTCCCCCCCCGCACTGTGTTTTCTATTCTCTTTGCAGACGTTTCCTCACTCCCCTTTTCTTCTCCATCTCCCCCTTTTTCCAGGCTCCTCTTCCACCTCCCCTTTTCTACATTCTGTCTTTCTTCCTAGCTTTTCCTGTATTTTGCCCTACTCACCATTTTATGGTCCTGTCCCAAGTTGCTGCTGCTGGGATTGCCCATGGTTACTAGTGCTTTGGTTATTAGGCAACCCACCCCAAAGTGGTTACTGCGGACTCACAAGATTTGTACTTTTTGGGAAAATTTCAACTCCCCCCATCTTCTAAAACTTTTAGTACTTTTTCACAAACCTGGAGGTACCCAAATCTACAGAAATGTGCTCCTTCTCTGTAAATGAATTTATTATATGGATTTGTTGATCCACATTTTGTGGATATGTTCAGAATTAGATATTACCTTAAATCCACCCAGGTTATACACCTAATTTTTAAGGGCGCATGCAGAGAACTTTCTAAGCCTAACGTTTCCCCCCCAGCAACTCACATTAACTTTCATCTTATCAAGATTAGAGGCTTAAAACAGAAGCTTAATCCTTCACTGATCTCAGACACTGGTGCAGAACTGACATTCTAGGATCTGATGGGAAAGGCGGATGGAGCTGCATGTCACCTGCACCCTAGATCGTCAGACATCACCCTGGGCAATTTCACATGAACAAAACAGCAGGGAAAATAAAATGGAACCCAGAGAACCTCACAGGCCAAAGGATCCAACGGCCATTTCCCAGCACCACTTCTGAGACCTAAATTTTAATGAAGCCATTAAAAACTATGCTCCACAGGATCATATCAGCCATGCAGCCCAGAACACCTTGGCTGATGACACTGAAAGCCACTGGGATGTTCAAAGGACCCAGCATCGATACATTCCCATGTTCAACACACATAGGCAATTACCAGAATAACCAGAGGGAAGTGGAGGTTTGCTATTATACTGTTTAGCAATTTTTATTACCATGAAGGATTACCAATGGATTATCAAGGACACACAAAAAAAGAACATTAATGTTCCTTCAAAGCCAGAAATCTCTTCCCTGCCTCACGCTCACAATGCCCCACCTTTGGAAGGCAAAGCTGGTGGAAGAGGCACATAAACAATGTGTAGACCTGAAAATTTTGAGCTGCAGTTGGTTGAAGGGTGAAACGCGGTGGGTATAAACCACCAACAAGCGAAGGTGCACTTGTTTGCTGTAAGCTGTTGTGGCTTGTTTTAAAAGCCCTGCTCGCTTCCAATAGGCTCTCCTTATTTTCTTTGCAAACAGATAACAAAGACACCAAAAATCCCCACAGCTTTCCCTAATCCAAAGAAAGCAAAACACTGTAAGGCTGCACTCATGGATTTCTCAACACCTGGGCAATTGAGGGGCACAGAACAATACTATTTGGGGAAGTGCTAATATATTGCGCCTATGCTGGTGTCCCAACTTTTGCTCCTGGTGCTGAAAAACAGCATCAAATCCAACCACACTGACCCAACTGATGGATCGAGTCAGGATTTGCACAATTTTGTTAGCTAAGCTGCAAAATATGGGGATTTTTTTTTAACTTGCGGCAAACCAAGGCCTCCCATTCATGCTGATGATGCCTAAACTCACAGTCTAGCATTAAACAAACCAGAAGACAGCTTACCGAAGCAGGAGCTCTTTGGGGAGCTTTTTATTGATCACGGCCTCATCGTTATTTGAGAACATCTGTAGGTGAAAGAAAAAGCAATAAAACACATTTAGCCTTTTGCATGGTCATTATGGATCACAGTTTCTTATAAAAACCAGGTGACTGTGACACAGGGGAGGCTTTAACAGAAGCAAATCTGATTGATGGCACTTTACTGGTGGGAAGAGAGAGGTTTTTAGGAATCTGAATGGGGGGCCTTTAAATTGCCTGCTAAACCCTCCCCTACGTCACCCACTCAGATTACAGCTTTATTTTTAAACTTGGTTTCAAATCGTATTGTAAACCACAATGTTCTGTTTGTATTCTACAGATGTTGGTCCGTTGCAAACAAGAACAAACGTGAAATAACAATGGGTAAATGAAATGATAAAACCGTGTTGTTACCAAACAAAGTTACATTTCCGTAACAATTAAAACTAATTTAATAAAAGTGGTCCTTCAGATATTTGTCTGGCAGGCTATAGAAAAGAATAACGTTTTGCTGGCCTAGTCTTTGGATACCAATTTGGATCGAATTTTCTTTGCAGCTAAGGCAAAAAAGGCAACTTTGTGGGAGACTACTGGGTCCTCACCAGCGAGGGGAAACAAAACTTTCTCCACTGCGATGCTTGGGCCTAAGCTAGCCAGAATAATGTCTAGGAAGTCTATCTAAGTTAAGAAGCCTGATTTTTACGATATTTCTTTATTTTGGCAGCTTAGTAGTGGGCTGTTGGGACTGGGAAGAACCTTGGCGTTTTCACTCTTTTTGGAGCAAATGGGTCTGTTACAGTTAGACTGGGGATAAGGAGAGTGGCCTTAGTACAGTCTTCTATTAGGTTAACCCAGTAGATTCTACTATCCTGTGAGATAAAAATACTCCTTAGGACCAAACTCACTAGCAATCCTTGGGGCCTTTTTTGCTTTCTGGGAAGTGAGTTATTTGGTTCATGGTCATCTTGAAAATTTTATTCTGACCTTAGCATGGGTCTCACTGATTTTTACCTGCTCTCTGGGTTATGGGAAAGTGGAACATGACTTGGGTCAGACAGCTATACTTGATATTACAATGAGTCATTTATACTCAAATTACACCACTGGCTCATTTGGCTCTGTAATGTTAACTTATCACCATCTCTCAACTCCTGTCTTTGGGATTTCAAGCTTACCCCTGATCCGAAAGTACCACAATCAAAAAGAGAATGATAGTTTTGCTTGAACTTGGGCTTCCATGATGGAAGTTGCTACATAATACCACAACCACATATGCCGAGTGAAGATATTAGTATCAGGTTCACAATTCAATCACCCGAGAGTCTCAGATTTCATGTATTTCCTTAAAAAGCAAGTTCCTAGCACTTTCCATTGTGCTTGAAAGTGTGTGGGCAAAGGCCGGCAAAGTCTCCTACGTTACAGAGGGAGCAGGTAAAGAAAGATTTCTATTGGTCAGGAGAAAGATTTCTGTTGGTCAGGAGGCAGAACATCCTGCCCTCCCTAGCCCTTTCTTGCCTATCCCAAAACTAGAAGCAGAATAAAATTTTTGTAAAATAAATTCATGTAAGTTGGTAGAATCTGTTCAAGTCACAGATTATGAACTTTTTTTTGTTAATGCACAGGACGGTATGCTCATACCTACCCATGGTAAAGGCTAACATGGCTAATGGATTATAATTCTCGCAAAACAGAAGAGGCTCACTTAAACCATGCCATCGTATCACTCTTGAAAGCCTCACCTAGGTTCTCCACCATGGCTAAAACCTAGTCCTCACAGCATTAAAGCTAACCACGGTTAGCACAAATTTTGGTGGCGCCAGTACCATGGCTAGGTCTGAGAAAAGAGAGGAACTGGGGATTCATATGTACGAAGCGGGAAAGGGAGGGTAGGCCCTGTCACAACAGAGCAGGAAGACAATCTAAATTTAAAGACCAACGAGCTGACAGAGACCATGAAGAAGACTTTTGCCGAGATGGTTCGTTTTCTGAAGGAAAAGGGACAGGCATACAGAAATAGTGCATCTGAGGAAATATCACAAGAAACAGAATCTGAGAATTGTCACGAACTCATTAATGACTCAATAACTGCAGAAAGTTATTGGAAATGGTCTTGTAGGGAGATAAATGAGTAATAGCTGGTCCAAGTTGAGAGGTCACCCTAGTATCTGATTAATATAATTTAATTCTTAAACTTTCCCAATTTTAAAATGTTATTCCCTTTCCCCACATTGCTATATTCTGCCTAAATTATTCCACTCTGTTTGCTGAGATTGTTTTACACAATTCCAATTGTCAGCTAGGCCTCTAGCTGCCATGGAGTGCGGAGCGGGCCCTCTGGAATTTTAAGTTGCTTTTCTCTGTGCCTTCAGTGTTTCTTTATCTCTGTAACATGAGCATTTGGCCTTGGTGTCTAGCACCAGCTTTCTCCTGGGAAACTGGACCCGTTAGCTTTGGCGGGCTTCTACCTGTTCCGTGATTGACTCCAGGCCATCGGGGGGACCCTCTTGAATTCTGTATATCTATTTGCTTCACGCACTTATTGCCAGTTCTGACACGAGATGTATAAAGACAACCTGCATACTTCAACGTTTCAATAAACTTTTACTTCTTTGCAAGAAAGTTGTTGGGAACTGATTGCCGCAGGGGTCTGGCACCAATCACCAAAGACCAGTTGCTGGAGCTTGGAGTTGTTGTCGATTTGGCAGCCCAGCATAGCTGCCAATTTTGAAGACTACTTTTAGGTCAGTTTTTTAGGTCTTGGCTTTTGTGGATGGACAATATAGTCCTACTGGCTTATATTTGGCAAATTCTGAATGGACATAAAAAGCCAAGATCTCTTCCCTACAGGGCTGTATGTGGTGTTTGGGAGTCTCACTCTGTTGTGTCCTTAGCCCAAAGTACACTGTCAAACAGATACAGTTGAATATAGATTTTTATTAGTTCATAGTAAATATAGTTATTTTTTGAATTTTGTTTTTCTTTCCCTGTGGCTTTACATTTTATAAATTTATGTTAACCCATAAAGGAAAACTTTATAATATAGGTGGATTAACCTAAGTGATTGCACCTATAGGAGACGGTATTGCAGTGTATTGCAATATTGTCTATTGTGTGTATCACCCTCTTTTTTATTATAGTTCAATGTTTTCTGCCTTTGTCACCCTTTGTTCAGTGCAGCATGTTAAACTTTAGATAGTCTGGTTTCCCTAGAATTTCTTTGCCCACACCAACTGCTATGTTGGCTTGGTTAGCTTTCTAATTTTTAACCCTACCTCTAAAAAAATTGGTGAGATGGGGTTTTTTTGTTTGTTTGTTTCAGGTAGGAAATCTTAATTTATGTTACTTTTTATATAAACAAGTCACCTGATGCACACATTAAAAAATCTCATTCTCAATAAGGAGCTAATACATCATATAGCCAGGAAGTTCATAAAATTCTGCCTTGTACAAAAAACAAATCCCTTACTTACAGGAAACTAACATTTCGGGGAGATGAGGCTAGAACTTTTCTTCACATATTAGATTTTCTATGTGCATGAAACAATTACATTTGGAGGCACATTCTGTCAGGCAGGTACCCTGCCCCATAGCAGTCTGAGGTGGTACAGCACAGACATATGTTTGCCACCTCAGGGATTACTAGCCTAGGGTGTGGCCTGCATAAAGATCACTACAGCCAGCCAGAAACGGAGTTGGCTGCTAGAGAGGTCAGGGGGTTGGTCATTTCCTCAACATTTTTCCCCAGCCTGCACTCCAAAGATAGACAGTTGGCAGAACTTGTGGAAGTTTGCTGGTTGCATATCAGAGAGCAGCTCTCTGTATGCCCCCCTCCACCCACGATTCATTACGGAGATGTCCAAAACTATTAAAATTGACAATACAGCAGGGTAGAATTTCTACAGATATATACCCACAATTTGCAATGGGGAAGGGAAAGCAAGGATATGAAATGTAATCAAGAAGAACTGAAACTGCAGGACAGCCAGCATGATTTCACAAGTGACACAACTCGGGATTTTTGTTTTGTTTTTAAGCCAGAGGCAACATGTTAAGGTTCAGTCAAAAACACACACAAAGCGCCTGACAGCAAGGGGGAAAAAGTGACTAGTCAGTTCAGGTTTCCTATCACTTATATGCAAATGTTCGGGTATGCAGATATTGTGGCTCAGAGTTTTATTAGTTGTACTATCACCGTTTAACTGCAAGAACAAACAAATAAAAAGTTCAGTTAGCATACAGCTAAGCTACAGTGGAGTGGTGTATAACTTGTTTCTGAAAGGCTAGCAAAATAACACACACCTGCGCAATTATCTCAAAACTTGACATTGACTCCTAAAAATTATAATTGGCTTTTGACTCCAATCCTGCATGCACTTTTTGCTCTCTTGTCTAGACTGTGCCTTGGAGCCGAACATCACATACCAGAATATCATGTGCCCCCCATTCCCCCCCCCCATCAGCAAACTCTGGTTAGCACTTCGATTGCAAGCCACGATCCGAAACAGGTGTGCGAACCATGGCACCAACCAGCAGACACTGATTTGGATGTCATGGTAAATAATTCTTAGGAAAAAACCAAGAAACAGAGGATGAAATCCACATTGAGAGGAACCTTCCACCTTTCTCTCATGAGCAGCATGACGAGGGAATCACAAACTCCTGCAAGACCACAGTTCCCTTCTGTGAAAAGGAAAGCAGCAAGCTTCGTTGTTTTTCTTCCCTACAAGGGTAACCATGGTCCTGCAGAGAGAGCAGTTCTCTAAGCCAACAGCCTCTTTCAGAACCAGGACTCATTGAGCTAAAAGCATGTGACAACACAGTCAGTGACAAGAAGAGGGGGAGACTGCATCAGAGTCAAGCTCAGAACCATGGGTACTGGACCAAGAGACCTGAGAACAGAAAATACAAGCAGAGCACCAGGAGGCGTGTGCCATAGTGAGGAATGCCAAGGGGTCGGAGCCACAAAATAATCCTTTACACTTCTGAGTGATCTTGCCTCACTGCCCTGCTGCTTCTCTTAGCACACTTGCAAAGAGAGGTGGAAGGG